GGGTACAACAAATTCATAGCTGGTAGCTATGACAGCAAGTACCAAAGTGTTAGACATGAAGGAACACCAATTGGAAAAACAAGAGGTCAAACGGACTGATTGGTCAACGACAGAGAAGTCAGGTGCAGTAAAGAGACTGCTTAGTTTTGCAGTCCTGCCTGCGATTCTGTTGGTCAGGGCGCTGCCTGCCCACATGTCTAGGGGGTGGTGGCTGGTAACTTTGGGGTTGAGTACTTTGATGTTCCTGGGATGCCCTAGACTGGTAGGAACATCTCCAGGTACTTGTGGTTGTTAGGCTGCAAAAGACTGTGCCACTTTCCAGAGCTTCAGCAGGTTATCAAGAATAACAACAGTTTTCTGACTAAAAAGCCCTACACCATCAAACAGCAGGACCTCAACCTGCCAGCTGTTTAGATGCTGGTTTTATGGCATGTCGAGCAGCAATGCTCTCGTGACGTGCCCGCCCCATTGCCTCCTAGTGATATGGGAGGCCTTAACTGTAAAGGTGCACAGGAACTACCTGCAGAATGGGCAGGTGGTGGTGATGATAAGCACCCATGGCAGAGGAGTAACTGGCTACATGGCATACATGGCAGCCAGAAAATAAAAACGCCGACCAAAGAACTCCTTGTCTGTTAACAGTAAAGGAGGGTTACTATCTGTGGCAACTGATATGGGTGTAGAAAGACTGGTTGGAAAATCTTCCTCCCCCTGTTACTCATGTAAGTCCCAATCCTGAATAAGGTAAATCCTTCTAACGTTCAGGGGAGAAGTCTTTCCTAGCATGAGCCTGATCAAGTTCAGTCTCAATACAGTTGCCGGGACAGAGAAGGCTGAATGGGTTAACAGTGGGTTCAGTCAAGCCCATGGACACTTTGCTGCCGGAGCCAAGTTCGAGGGAGCACTGCACCTTTGAGCCATATGTCGAGGCACAAAGCACTCCCATACTGAATGGAAGGGACTGGTCCTGCACGAACTTGTTGGTGTGATAGGACCCTCCTGAGGAAAATTACTCGGGTCTACCTGACAGCGGCAGGGTTCTTGGACTCCTATGGGTCCTTTCCCAATGAGCCTACGCTGGTGCTGAGTGAACGAGCTCATTGATAAAAGAGAGCTGTTTCATGCCAAATTATCAGCCACAAAACAGGTGTCACACAAGTCAGGAATATCAGTGACAGGTGGGGTTGGCAGTGGGAGCTGCAGGAGGCCCTTTCTTTCCCCAAAGGCAAAGCCGAGGCATACCCTATGTTTCCAGAACATCATCAGTCTCGGCACTCAGCTCTCTCTGGAATTAGGAGCTGTATGAACGAGCCTATGATGCAAGAGGGCTGTTCCATGCCAACCTCCACAGAGGCTTTTACCCAGTCAGGAGAATCACTGACAGGTGGGGATGGTGACTGGAGCTGCAGGAGGCCCTTTTTTCTTCCAAGGGTAGGGCTACAGATGCCCAACTCACTGCAGGTATAACAGCTGTATGAACAAGCCCCTTGATGCAAGAGGGCTGTTCCACGCCAACCTCCAAAGAGGCTTTATCCCAGTCAGGAGAATCATTGACAAGTGGAGATGGCAGCAGGAGCTGCAGGGGGCCCTTTCCTCTTCCAAGGGCAAGCTAGGGCTGCTGGCACCCATCTCTCTGCAGAGTTAGCTCAGATGCTGTCCTCTTCTTTTTTGACACGAAGAGGAAGATTGCAAACAGGTGGATAGCTGTTGCTCTTGAGCCTGGGGTAACCTTGCTAAGAAGGTAAAAGAGACCTTATTTCTTTAAGAGGAAAAAGCCCTGAGGGCTCCAAAGCCGGCTTTGTAAAGCTTTTACAAAGAATATCTAACTCTGATTAGTGATCTTCTCCCAGGCAGAAGAAACAACTTGTTAATGAAGAAAGAACAAGGGGAGGTCAAAGAAAGGAAAGGAAAAGAATTAGGTTTTGTTTTACTTGCAAAGTTCCAAATGAAGCTGCTTCTACAGCAGCGATCAAACAAAGAAATGAAGCACTGGGCTGGGGGTGGAGGTATATAGCCAGGTATAGGGGAGGTTCCAGCACTAAATGCTTAAAGCAGTGAAAGTTTCCGAAACTGCTCTGTTCGAGTGCAGATTAGCCCACTAGTGTGTATTCACAGAAGCCACGAAGGAGAAAGTAGGACTTTAGCACATTCTGCCTTTTCTTTGTCATCTGTTATCATCTTCCCATTCCCATTGAGTAGCTAAGTCACTGTTTCTTTTTTTCTGTATTTTGGTATGCACATACCTGAAAAATGCTTTTTGTAGCATCTCTTGCGAACTTCAGCTTGTTCTCAGATTTTGCCTTTCTAATATTATTCCTGCAATTTTTTGTGGCCTGGCCTTCCTGCCACTTCCTATATGTCTCTTTCTCTTTTTGTTCGTTTTCAGGTCCTCTCTGAGCTTTTTATTGACGCAGATTAGTCTTCCACCTTTCTTTCTTGTTGGAGTTGTTTGTAGTTATGCCTTCAGAATTTCCTTTTCAATAAACTTCCACACGTCTCGGACTCCTTTTCTTATTAGGATCTCCTGCCATGGGGCCTTATTTATCATCGTTATGAGTTGATTAAAATTGATTTTTCTAAAATCGAACATGCAGGCTATATTCTTCTTTGGTTTCCTTTCAAGTTAATATATACCTTACAGTTGTGGCTAGGTATACTTTGGAACCACAAAACGAAGCATCCACACCAGAATCAAAGAACATGAGAGACACTACAGACTAAAACAACCGGAAAAATCGGCAGTAACTGAACATGCCCTAAAACAAGCTGGACATGAAATTCTATTTCAAAATACTGAAATACTGGACAACACCAGCAATCGTTACATTAGACTGCACAGGGAAGCCACTGAAATCCACAAACACCAGCAGAGCTTCAACAAAAAAGAAGAAAGTTTAAAACTCAACAAAGCTTGGCTCCCAGCACTGAAAAATACAGCCTGCAAAAGGTCAACGAACTCTAGCCAGCCGCAAGGACCGGTGATCACTACACACAAAAGACCAGCTAATGACACCCATCAATCACAGTGCCAGATAATCTCTCCTCCCTATCACAACAAAACACCGACAACAAAAACACATATCACCAATCTCCTGAAAAGGACAAAAGCTGCTCCCACAGCTATAAATACTCCACTCCGAAACAAACTGCACCAGAGCACAGAGTGCTACTCCTGTCCTCTGAAGATGCCGGCCACAGAGATTGGCGAAACGTTAGGAAGAACAACCTTCAGAACACAGCCAAAAAGCCTGAAAAACCCACAACCATCCTCATGTATTTCTGTGCAAGAATTTTTTTAACATATACTGTAACTCCATCCCTCTTTCTATTCCTTCTTTTCTTTTTGAATAATTAAATCCTTCAACTGTCATATTCCAGTCATGGGAATCATCCCACCAAATTTCAATTATCTCTATCAGGTCATATTTACCCTCCTCAACTAAGATTACCAGTTCTTCTTGATTGTTTCCCATGCTTCTGGAATTCATATAAAGATACTGGACATTGTGTGATCTTTGACCTGCTTTCTTTCTTACATTTTGATGAAGACTATTATTGATCTCATTAGAGCTGTTTGTCTTGTTCCTCTTACTGTGCATAAGCCTTTGTCTTACAATACAATTCTGTGCAAGCCTTCATCTATTAAAATATGCAATATAAAATAAAATAGAACAAATCAAGATAGGAGTTTTGCTATACAACATTGACGAAAAGAGTATCTAATCAAGGTGGAGACAGCCTGCATGTATTTCCCAAATACATGGGAAATATATGTATAGTATATGTGTGTATGTGTGCGCGTGTGCTCTGACAATCCCAAATGCATATCTTCACATCTTATTCTGACAGTTCCAAGCTTAATCTGAGCCACTTTCTTCCAATTAGCCTCTTCAACTAATGTCTCCTCTTTGCTCCAAAAATAAGGCATTTTCCCATAAAACTGAAGTGGCTCAATGCCCAGGAAGGATAATAATCAGTTCTGGACCAGTGACAGCTTTGAGGTCCACTGGCTCTTGGAAGTACAGCAGAATTAGACTTTTGCTTTCAGGCATATTCCAAGGCATTAGAGTAACACAAGGAAACTTCCTTTGATTATTGTTCTACAAATGATGACAGTGTGTGAAAGTCAAGAACCCAAGAAGTTTGTGTTAACCTTTTGTTCATTTTGCTCATTTTATACTGCCTTACTAGCAATCAATTGATCTTAATGGGTTTAAGTTAATGATTAGTTATAGTTATAGTTCTAAATTCCAAAAAATACACTAATAGCTATAACAGCTGCAATTTTTTTAAAAAATAACTTTTATTTATTTATTTATTTACAAGATTTTTTTCACCGCGCCATTACCAATGGTCTCTGTAACTAAATGTTAGTTATCTTTTAAAAAATAATTACTTTTAATTACTTAGAAACTATGGAATTACTTAAAGCTATGGAAGTATGGAATAATCTGTGGTATAAACATAATGAAATCTGATAAGACAATTCTGCATGTGTAATTGCAACAATGTCATCAGCAGTGGCAAATCGCCACTTATTAAAGCTTTCCTTGAATCAGGAACTTTGTTGCATTGTGTACACTTGTGTTCACCTTGAAATTACCTTTATTCAGCAGCAAGTTGCTGCTAGTGATGATATCATTCCCACTGCACATGAGGAACTGTATAACAGGATTTTAGCTACTGTCTTCATGTCAAGCTCACTACTGTGTCAACATCCACAACTGACACAGTAATGGCTTGTGTTGTGGCAAAGACACAGCATAAGCCAGTATTTAAAACATGCAACATTCTTTCCCCACCTTTTAGTGAGGCCTCTGTTCTTAACTATATTCCCTTCATTCCAGGCATTGAATTTTCTGGTCCTCAGAAGCATCTTCTCTTGGATGATAGAAATGGTCATCCAGTGGATGGTCATAGATGGGGTTTTTAAAAATGTGATTAAATATAATTTCAAAGCAGTCAAAATCACTACATTACAAGGCATACTTGTACTGTACCTGAAAAATCTGTTTGGAGATTTCTGAACAGGAACTCTGAATGGAAGAGAGATCTTCATTGGAAAATGTTACTTTGAGTTTAGCATTGATTTCTTTAAGGTGGTGATATTCCATTGGTTCAGGTGTGTATCCCTCACCTGGTAGCAAATTGTCAGCTGCTTCTTCCTACAGAGAAGAATAAAGGAATAATGTACATTCCAAAATGGCAGAACAAATTAAAAAGTTGCTGTTGTTACATGTCATCCGCTCTAATTTATGGTGACCCCATGAATGAGCAATCTACAAAATGTCCTATCCTCAACTACTGTACTCTCCTCAGTTTTTGCAAACTCATGCCTGTGACTTCCTTTAGGGAGTCAGTCCATCTCATATTTGGTCTTCCTCTTTACCTGCTGCTTTCTACCTTTCCCAGCATTATTGTTTTTTCCATATAATCCTACCTTTGCATGTTATGCATAAAGTAGGACATTAAAAAGTACCATAGTGATACCTTCTTTATAAAAATTTGTTGGTAGAAAATAAATGCAGAATCTGATTTGAAAATATACACATATTAAAACCTTCAGCAGAGCACGTCAGCACTGATTACAAATAATGTACTGTATAGAAAAGTAAACTTTGGGAAATTATTTTCTGTAGCAAAAGTCTGAAATCTCAATACTGTACTGCACAAATGATCAAACCAAAAATATGTTGATGTTAAGATAATGTATGTAATTTTTGCTTGCATTTTCATTGAGACTTTTGATGAGGCTCTGTAGACTTTAATCTGCCTTTGGAATGGCAATTTGTCAAATACGTCAGATGCCAATATATACCCAAATGATTAAATCAGAATACATTTTTCTAACAGCATGGTAAAAATACTTACTGTTACACAAATAGAGAGCTTTAGATGCATTCTAATTATGGAAAAATAGAAGGTCAAAACATTTTAATAATAAGCTTTTATAATCTTTAACACAAAAATCTCCATTATTATATTTTCAATCTACAGAACAAATAATTATTCAACACAGGTACATCCTCTTTTGGCACATAACTGGAAATTCTTTGCAGTGCCTTCATGAGGCAAAACGTTCCTGACATATGAGTGTAGTAATGAAGGAAAACTACACAATGCTGTAGAATTCAGTGTAGTTACCGATCATTCTAAAGCAGGTAGTTAGATCACCAATACCAGTTTAGCAAGTTCCACACTTGCAGTTATAGTTAAGAAGGAAAGTGGGTACTAGAAAACACAATGCATATTTTAATCTTGGCACTCAAGATCTACCATATTTTTGGCTCCATAAAACGCACTCCCACCCAAAAAAAGTGGGGGGAAGTCTGTGCATCTTATGGAGCGAAGGCTGCGATTTCGCCCCCACTGGCCCTATGGGGGAACGTCGCAAGGGTCCGAGTGAGCCTTCCAGGACCCTTGCGACGCTCCCCTACCCCCCATGGGGCAAGTGGGGGCGAAATTGCGATCTTCCAGGTCCTGGAAGCTGGTGATTTCGCCCACGCTGGCCTCATGGGGGGGAGCGTCGTAAGGGTCCTGGAAGGCTCACTCGGACCCTTGCGACGTTCCCCCATAGGGCCAGTGGGGGCGAAATCGCAGCCTTCGCTCCATAAGATGCACAGACTTCCCCCCACTTTTTTTGGGTGGGAGTGCGTTTTATGGAGCCAAAAATATGGTAGATCTTGAGTGCCAAGATTAAAATATGCATTGTGTTTTCTAGTACCCACTTTCCTTCTTAACTATAACTGCAAGTGTGGAACTTGCTAAACTGGTATTGGTGATCTAACTACCTGCTTTAGAATGATCGGTAACTACACTGAATTCTACAGCATTGTGTAGTTTTCCTTCATTACTACACTCATATGTCAGGAACGTTTTGCCTCATGAAGGCACTGCAAAGAATTTCCAGTTATGTGCCAAAAGAGGATGTACCTGTGTTGAATAATTATTTGTTCTGTAGATTGAAAATATCCCCTCTGACCCCTGGGGGCCAGAGGGGGTGAAATCTGGGGGCCTCTGGGGGGCAGGGTGAGCCTCCAAACGGTCCTAGGGTGTGTTCCATAAGATGGACCTCTCCATAAGGCTCACCAATTTTTAGGAGAAGAAAAGAGATTATTTTTCCTGTTTTCTTCTCCTAAAAATTTGGTGCATCTTATGGAGAGGTGCGTCTTATGGAGCAAAAAATACGGTAAATTTCACGGCAGGAGGTCCACACAAAAAAGGAAACGCAGAAAGCCTCACTCACACCCAACATGTTCCTGGCCTAGAATGATTATAATAACTGAATATAGCTGAAAGAATAGATGCCACGGTTTTGTAAGAAATAAGACTTTCAATAAGTAATAATTTAGCATTTTTCAGTTTATAAAAATGACTAATGTTTGTTTGTTTGCTTACTTATGTATATGATTTATATTCTACCTTTCTCCCCATGGAAGACTCAATATTGCAACTAAAGAGTCACTAGCCTGTAGGCATACTAACCGTAATCATTTGTACAGCTTTTGGAGGGTTCCTGATTCTTCCAAACATCATCACAATCAGGGACAAAAAAAGTGCATGATTTCTCTCAAAGAGAAAAAAATGGCATTCCTGGAAGCTTCTAGCAGTACTGATTCTTCTCTAAAGGAAGGCTATATGAGTATTAAGAGGAGGTTGTTGATTATAGTTTTTTTTCAAAACCAGATCTGACCTTCTGGCCATGTTGTGGTTTTGGGGGGTGGGATTAAAAATGCATGTTTGGAGGAGGTGCAACCGGCAGCAGAGGGGGAATGGACAACATTAACCTCAAGGCCCACTGATGTTAACTACCATTGACATAGAGAACTGCTGAAATATAATCCTAGAAATGTCAAAAGAATCAACAATGGAAAACAGAGGAAGTGACTGAAGCCACTTCCTTAGCAAAGAAAGTATGTGCAAAAATATGAAATGAAAAATGTAATGATTAGACCCGTATGTTATGGATGGATTTCTTCAGCTCCTCTGGCCTCTTCTTAAACATTAAGGTTATTATTCAGTATAGTTCAACTATGAATAAGGTGAACAGGATTGCTCTGCAAGGTTCTTTCCAGGTGCAAAGCTTTTTTCACATTATGGTATTACTTTTGGGGGGTTTGTTGATTACAAAATTGCTGTGTAGCACCAATATAACTCATTCTATTAAGCAATTTTTTCGGCAAAAAAGAGAGCCATATCTTGTCCACATCAGTGGGTCTGGTTAGATGTTTTGCCTATTGTTTAGTTTTATGTTGTAAAGTCCCCAGAGTGGTCTTTGGTTAGATAGGCGATATATAAATCAAATAAGTCAGTAAGTAAATAAATAGACCTCTATACTGTTGTCCTACCCACTTCAAACACACAAAGTTGCCCGTCTCAGTTTTCCATCATTCACACCAGGTACTTCTTGATCTGTTTTAACAGTGAATGAATTTGAATATAGATTAATTATTTCATACCTCAATGACCTGAAGTTCAGTGCCCTCAGTCTCAGCCTCTTCAAGCAACTCTGACAGCCTATTCTTCTCCTCCTCTAGCATAACCACTTGGTTTGCTGCATCCTTCACTAACTGGAAAAAGAGAGGAATTTTGAAACTGGCTTAGAAAATTAACAAAACATTTATGAGATTCTTACTTCTATTAAGAACTACTGTAAGCCTTGGGATGTCTTGTCTTTGTCCCAGCAGACACCGGTATATATCATTTGATACATTGACACCTATTGTTGTTGTTTAGTCATTTAGTCGTGTCCGACTCTTCGTGACCCCATGGACCAGAGCACGCCAGGCCCTCCTGTCTTCCACTGCCGCCCGGAGTTGGGTCAGATTCATGTTCGTCGCTTCGTTGACCCTGTCCAACCATCTCATCCTTTGTCGTCCCCTTCTCCTCCTGCCTTCACACTTTCCCAACCTCAGCATATTTTCCAGGGTGTCTTCTCTTCTCATGAGATGGCCAAAGTATTGGAGCCTCAGCTTCAGGATCTGTCCTTCCAGTGAGCACTCAGGGTTGATTTCCTTCAGAATGGATAGGTTTGTTCTCCTTGCAGTCCAGGGGACTCTCAAGAGTCGCCTCCAGCACCACAATTCAAAAGGATCAATTCTTCGGCGGTCAGCTTTCTCTATGGTCCAGCTCTCACTTCCGTACATCACTACAGGAAAAACCATAGCTTTGACTATTCGTACTATTGTTGGCAAGGTGACGTCTGTGCTTTTAAAGATGCTGTCGAGGTTTGTCATCACTTTGACACCTATCAGTCAAGCCTGATTCTCTATCTTGAGACCAAATTTAACTGTAAATATTACAGTTTAAAATATCTAGCCAATTTTCAACTTTGAAGCTTCTTCCCCATCCAGTGCTTTTTGTTCCTACCACACGGTCTGATAAAATATTGTGAAGAACTCAGAATGTTGCACATAACTGTGGAACTATAGCTGCTCATAACAAACATGTTGTCACCTGTAGGATTTGGAGTTTGTTTGGCAATTATGAATCAACAAAGTTACCTATACTTTTGTATTACCTCGGCTACAATATTATTTTATTATTCTCTAAGTTTTTTTAAAAAAACTCATCTTTATTATTGCTATTCCTTTAAATTAATAAAGTAATGGAAGGAAATACTTGTAATGGTATCTGTGCTAAGACACACTTAACAAAAAGTATTAACAGGATCCAAAGAATTTTATTAGGAGGTGAAAAACTAAATGTTTTTGAAAGACAAAAGTAGTTTTCACAGACAATGGGTAAGCTGAATGCTTAACCAATCAAAAAAATGAATCAATACATTAGGGCCAAAAGTAGACCAATGGTTTAAGCAAAATGAGGCAATAATTAGAGCCTTAGAGCAGAGATCCCTAACTTTTGTGAATCTAAAATATAGAACTTGGAGGAGAGCTTAACTGATACAATTGTTGTTGTTTTTTAGTTGTTGTCGTGTCCGATTCTTTGTGACCCCATAGACCAGAGCACGCCAGGCCTTCCTGTCTTCCACATACCAAGGGTATGGAGGGATTGCCTTTTCTACCTGTTTCTTCCCATCCCACTAATCCAGACAACACTGATCAAAATTCGTCAAGTACAAGCCAATGCCATTTTAGTAGCCCCATGGTGGCCTTGGCAATCATGGTTTAAGACACTCAATTGAGTTCCTACGACTGCCGTCTGTTCCACATCTATTCACACAGGATGCAGGCAACATCTGCCATCCAGATCTGGACTCGTTACATCTTACAGCTTGGAGGATTCTCCCAGGATAAAAGAGGTTTTAGACAAGGTTAGAAAACCATCAACACAACTATTACATTGTTACAAATGGAACAATTTTCTAATATTTGCTGAATCTAGGAACTTGTCACCTGTACCAGTGTCCCTTAATACTCTTCTCACATTTTTGCGCCATCTATTCAACCAAGGCTTAGCCTTTTCTACTCTCAAAGTTTATATATCTGCAATTGTATTTTACAGTGGACCCTCGACTTACAAGCGGCTCGACTTACAGGCTTTTCGAGTTACAGACTTCTCTGGCCACAAAATTTAGGTTCGACTTGCAGCCGGAGAATCGACCTAAAGACCAGGAAAAAACCAAAATGGAACAAAAACAGAACAAAAATGGCCGGTTATGGATTAATCGGTTTTCAATGCATTGTAGGTCAATGGAGACTCAACCTACAGATTTTTCGACCTGCAGCTACCGTTTCAATACGGATTAATTCCGTAAATGGAGGGTCCACTGTACCAACCTGTTGGATCGGACTCATCACGTTTATTGAAGGAAAGCAACCCTGAGTGCTCACTGGAAGGACAGATCCTGAAGCTGAGGCTCCAATACTTTGGCCATCTCATGAGAAGAGAAGACTCCCTGGAAAAGACCCTGATGTTGGGAAAATGTGAAGGCAAGAGGAGAAGGGGACGACAGAGGACGAGATGGATGGACAGTGTCATCGAAGCGACTAACCTCCAGGAGGCAGTGGAAGATAGGAGGGCCTGGCGTGCGCTGGTCCATGGGGTCACGAAGAGTCGGACACAATTTAACGACTAAACAATAACAACAATACCAGACAACTACTGTAACAAAATTAATCACTCACTATTAATTTCTAAATGATTAACATTATGAGACTTGACAAAGAGTTCCAATTCTGAGTTTTGCAACATAGGCCCTTGTTTTGCAACATAGGCCATTAACATACCTCTATGTTCTTTTTAACAAAGTCAGGAGGCTTTTTACAACTTGTTTTGGGTTTTTGGTGCATGTTTTCTATTTTCTTTATTGAGCTTCTGGCTCCTCCTTCAAACAAATAACTTTCACCTAAGAAAATATTGGAAAAGTTGAATTGAGCAAGAGCCAATTAATTCTACCATAACTAAGACCAACTACTCATATTAGGAGTAGTGAAACTTCAATTTCACTACTTCTAGTATGAAAATCGCATAATTCTGTATCATTAGCATTCAATTATCTGAACAACTGCTTCAATAATATTCCTAACAAAATTATCCAGACTTCAATGCAACCCATTGGTTATAATGGTGTATTCAGTTTGCAGGCAAGTAAACAATGCGACAGAAAAGGCAGTAAAATGTAAACAATGATCTGCATCAGGGGTTTTCTCTTTCCAAACAAAAGAGCTCCTTCTATTTGTGAAGGAAACCGGGATCTTGCAGCAATTCCCTACTAGAGGAGGGGAAAGGAGAATGATTTTTGCCAATTCCTCCTTCACTATTCAGCATTTAGTGCCACTTCACATACTGTTCATGAGAGCCTCCCAGTCATACACAGCAAATTGTGGGAAGCATGAGGACATCAGTGAAAAATCACCTTCTTATTTCAATATATGGGATTAGACAATATTTAGTGTTCTTCCCCTTGTAACCATGGATTCAATCCCATGTTTCAACTACTTCCCACTGATCCTTCTATGCGAGGCACCACTGTACTTCCCACTGATCCTTTAGGTATAAACTCAAGACATACATATAAGCACTAAATTACCCTGTTTCCCCAAAAATAAGATCTAATCAGAAAATATGCCATAGTATGATTTTTCAGGATGCTCATAATATAAGCCCTACCTCAAAAATAAGCCCCAATTCAGTGAAACCCCACTCTCCTCCAGTGTGCATCAACCAGAAGAAGATGCCATGACTGTATTTGAATAAATGTGGATTGTTGTACGTGAAGAAACAAAACATCCCCTGAAAATAATCCCTAACGCATTTTTTGGAAAAAAAATTGTCTTATTTTCGGGGAAACACAAGTAGGAAAAACATAAAACATACTTTTTTTCTCAAAGACACAGTGATTTTTCTTTTTAAATAACTGTATTCTAGGGTAAAAAAACTGATATAGTTTTTACCTTGCTTGGTGGTTCTTCTGTCACATTCATAATTTTCTGGATGTATCTGTGTGTGAAATACACTAACAAACATTTCAGCTTCTTCAACAGCAAAAGATTCTGTTAATAAAATATAGTGTTAAATGCTAGGCATCTTTTTTTAGAGCTGGACCATGAAAAGTCAAAATAGCCATGGTGACATCCAATATCCAGAATGGATAAGAAAAAGATATATATATATTTTGCAACAAGAAAATTCCCAATCATATATTCATCAGTGCCAGTAAAAATATATTTGTTACATATCTGTAGGAATGTAAACTTGACGAATTTCACAGAGAAGATTGGCATTAGGTCTACTAATTTGGTGTGGAAAAAGGAGGTGCCTGCACAGAGTATCCCACCTCTACACTAACAGTTATTTCAAATTCCTGATAGGTGTGGTGAAAAGGGGGTGTTAGTGTGGTGCCCTCATTCTGCTTAAAATGATAAGCTGAGAAACACCTACCGTAGTATCATTAACAGCTTATTCTATACTCATTCTTAGAAGTAGGCAAGCTTTTGCTAACAATTAAGTTGTGTTTTTTTTTTTGCAGTCTCCTGCAAACTCTAGAGATTCTATTTTTTCAGAATAATTTTCATTCTCAGCCTGCATTTAAAATACTTAAGCAAAGAAATACCTCTTTCCACTGTTTGAACTACAGTGGACCCTTGACTTACAGACGGCTTGACTTACAGACTTTTTGAGTTACAGACTTCTCTGGCCGCAAAATTTAGGTTTGACTTGCAGACTGAGATTTGACTTACAGACCAGAAAAAAACCAAAATGGAACAAAAACGGCCTGTTAAGGGATTAATCGGTTTTCAATGCACTGTAGCTCAATGGAGACTTGACTTACAGACTTTTTGACTTGAGAACCGCCTTCCAATACGGATTAAGTTCTCAAGCCAAGACCCCACTGTAGCTACTGATCACATGCATCCCATGTTTCAGTTAATGATCAGCTAAAACATATAAAAGTGGTAAGGAACCAGTCGTTCACCAACAACTCAATAAAACATTCATACAAGAATAAAAAAGACAGACATAATGAGTAATGCAAGCTTTTTGGAGCAGATATACTGCAGGAACAGTACCTGAGGTACTTGAGATCCTACACGAGACCTAATAATAAACTGAGGCAAAATGGAGATTATTATTGACTGAGTGGTTCACCTACCCAGGAGAATGACATTCATGAATTCAGTAAGGTGACACATCCCCCCGACAGCCTTACATCTTGAGGCGCTTATTGATATATCCTCAGTAGCCTTTGTCTATTAGTTTTGTCTGATTGTGAGTTAACATAACTGTCTCTTAACTCGGGCATCACAAAAGAGTTCACCATCAGAGGCTCACTCCAAACCATTTGCAATCTGTGGGCTTTCTTGTGGGCCACCTCAGACTGGGACATATGGTGCCGCAACAGAGGTGCCGGCCCTACTCTCCCTCTGTGGGCATTTCTGGCTGAGGTATCACCGCTGGTTTGGCCCCTTCTTCCACCGATCTTCCTTCTTGGGATAGACAGACAAAATCCATTCCACTGGTTCTGCTTCCCCCAGCTGCACTACCAATCCTTTCTTTCTTTGCCTTTTCAGCTCTTCTCCCTCTTTTTTTTTCTTACTCCCCACAGGTCTAAGAGTGTGATATTGTTGTTTCCTTTCTATTTCTTCAATGGGCAGTTTCATTTTAACACATTCTCCTGTCCAGGGATCTTCCGTTTCTAACCAACCCCATCCTAGAGGAATGTCTTCCTGTGTCACCTCCTTTTCTTTCTTTTTCTCCTCCTCCTTTGCCACCTCAATATTCCTAATCTCGACTTAACTTTCCCTTTTATTTCTCACATCTTCCCGAATAAAATTACTTGTTTTCCCGTTCTATTTTTCTCTTCTATTTCTTTGCACTGGTTGTTATAATAATTCTCTTTGTCTCTATGTGACAGTCGCTGACAAACTGATTTCAGAGTTCTGATCCTATTTCTGTTAACTTTTACTTTTGCTTCCTGTTTGTCCTTTATAATTGTATTTCTTCTGCCATTCGTGTAGGTTTTTCTTTTCTTTTTACTATATGAATTGTCTTTTTGCATTCTTCCTAATAATATAATTTCAATCCACAGTTCTTCAAGTATATGGCCAGTTGAATTTAGTAAAGCAAATCTGTTCCTTATGCGGAATTAAAATTCCTCAGGAATGTTGTTTAAATTATACTTTGGCACAAAAGTTATTTTCGTGTTCTTTTTCAGCTTTACTCTAAGCTGGATATTAACAGTTCATGATCAGTACTATAATCTGCTCCTGTCTTATTTGGCAGCAAGATTACAACTTCTCCATCTCCTGCTTCCGTTGGTTTGGGAGAATCACTACGATCAAAATGAAAATATTACCAAAAATTACTTTTTTATTCAGGATGCTCCCAAAACAGTTAGAAGAAGATTTTAAGTATTGGCAGGGACTAATTAATGGATTTTGTAATCAAGGTTAAAAAATCAAGAATAAATAAAAGATATCGGTATAAGTCTCCAAAAAAATGGAAGTTTAGGTATCCCTAATATAAAAAATTATTAGATAGTGAATCAACTAAGATTCATTGGAGATATTACATACAACAACGGAAGGTTGTTGTTGTTGTTGTTGTTGTTGTTGTTGTTGTTGTTGTTGTTGTTAATTAATTAATTAACTTATTTACTTTATACCCCGCCTATCTGGTCGGTGAGGACCACTCTAGGCGGCTAACGAAACGCCGTTGCCTTCCCACCACGGTGGTACCTATTTATCTACTCACATTTTTACATGCTTTCGAACTGCTAGGTTGTCCCTTGACTTCAGCACTAAAATTATGGGCTGTAACCATTCTTCTTGGGTTACCTTGCCTGAAGTCCAGGCTTATAATGGAGTTTGGCCTCCTAAAAGCATAGCTTTCATTCTCACAGACACACTCAAACCCCTTCACTGTGTTAAGGTGTGCAGCCAAGAAGGGGATGATTTCTAGCACTTTGTCCTTTTCAGAACCGAGCTTCAACATTATATATGACAGACATTACTTTGTTGTAAAGTCTTATGCATTGTTTCCATCTGTTTATAAATATCATCACATCCTGTTTTCAAACATGATCATTTTCCTTCTGAACACTTGCATAAAAGCTTTCAGTACATTGTTCTTCATCATTTAGAGTTGGACTATAGACCTGAATGATGTATACAGAGTTGACATGAATACAGTAGAATACATAGTTGACATGAATGTAGGGAAACATGCAGTTATAGCCATGCAAAGTGCAGTTGCAAAATAAACTTAATGAGCTCACCTGCAACATTACCAAGAGAAAATGCTATTCTTTTGAGGAGATAATTGCTTAATTACATTCCAATCTTTATTTTTAAATAAAACAAGCTCTTGAAACAAAATGGACCTCACTGCTGGTATGCAGTACAAATGCCTCTGGCAAGAAGGATCCATAAACTATTTAAAGTATGGCAAGTATGGCCAATATGAATGAGGTGTGTGATCTGTACAATAAAAAGTACCTTTGTCAAGTTAAGGTGGACTACATTAGGTCTACTGAACACCTGAAGGAGCCATCTCTCTATTTAAAAACAATGAAGAGCCTACAAGAATGTTTTGCTATGAAACACTGACATCTAGTGGCAACCTACTAGCTCTGGCCAGGGTTTCTGGGAGTTGCAGTCCAACAACTGGGGACCCAATGTTCAGAAGCACTTGTATAATAGATAATGAAACATGACAACCGCATAACAGATTCCTTCCTTAGGAGGAGGAATCTGAATACCATGTAGTAATGAAATGACAACTTCACGTCCATTATATTTAAAAACACTTCCTGAAAAATTCATACCAGGCACAAAGGTGCTATTTTTACCTGCAAAGTTTATTATCAGAAGTCTAACAATTGAATAACTGAACAAAAATAACAAACAACACAAATCATACAATGGGTACAAAAACAAAGTATAAAAACAGCTCATTTACATTGCAGCCCCATCCATATCTAACTTAAAAGTAAACCACACTGAATTCAATAAGGCTTATTCTCCAGTAAGTTTATACAGGCTTAATTCAGAGCAGAGGAAACAAAACAAGTACAAAATGTTAAGACTACGCATTTACTCAAGATAGATGAATAACTATTGTGGTTTGGGAGAATCACTATGGTCAAAATGAAAATATTACCAAGAATAACTTTTTTATTTTGGATGCACCCAATACACTTAGAAGAAGAAGATTTTAAGTATTGGCAGGGACTAATTAATGGATTTTGTAATCAAGGTAAAAAAATCAAGAATAAATAAAAGATATCGGTATAAGGCTCCAAAAAAATGGAAGTTTAGGTATCCCTAATATAAAAAATTATTAGATAGTGAATCGACTAAGATTCATTGGAGATATTACATACAACAACGGAAGGTTGTTGTTGTTGTTGTTGTTGTTGTTATTTATTAATTAATTAACTTATTTACTTTATACCCCGCCTATCTGGTCGGTGAGGACCACTCTAGGCGGCTAACGAAACGCCGTTGCCTTCCCACCACGGTGGTACCTATTTATCTACTCACATTTTTACATGCTTTCGAACTGCTAGGTTGTCCCTTGACTTCAGCACTAAAATTATGGGCTGTAACCATTCTTCTTGGGTTACCTTGCCTGAAGTCCAGGCTTATAATGGAGTTTGGCCTCCTAAAAGCATAGCTTTCATTCTCACAGACACACTCAAACCCCTTCACTGTGTTAAGGTGTGCAGCCAAGAAGGGGATGATTTCTAGCACTTTGTCCTTTTCAGAACCGAGCTTCAACATTATATATGACAGACATTACTTTGTTGTAAAGTCTTATGCATAGTTTCCATCTGTTTATAAATATCATCACATCCTGTTTTCAAACATGATCATTTTCCTTCTGAACACTTGCATAAAAGCTTTCAGTACATTGTTCTTCATCATTTAGAGTTGGACTATAGACCTGAATGATGTATACAGAGTTGACATGAATACAGTAGAATACATAGTTGACATGAATGTAGGGAAACATGCAGTTATAGCCATGCAAAGTGCAGTTGCAAAATAAACTTAATGAGCTCACCTGCAACATTACCAAGAGAAAATGCTATTCTTTTGAGGAGATAATTGCTTAATTACATTCCAATCTTTATTTTTAAATAAAACAAGCTCTTGAAACAAAATGGACCTCACTGCTGGTATGCAGTACAAATGCCTCTGGCAAGAAGGATCCATAAACTATTTAAAGTATGGCAAGTATGGCCAATATGAATGAGGTGTGTGATCTGTACAATAAAAAGTACCTTTGTCAAGTTAAGGTGGACTACATTAGGTCTACTGAACACCTGAAGGAGCCATCTCTCTATTTAAAAACAATGAAGAGCCTACAAGAATGTTTTGCTATGAAACACTGACATCTAGTGGCAACCTACTAGCTCTGGCCAGGGTTTCTGGGAGTTGCAGTCCAACAACTGGGGACCCAATGTTCAGAAGCACTTGTATAATAGATAATGAAACATGACAACCGCATAACAGATTCCTTCCTTAGGAGGAGGAATCTGAATACCATGTAGTAATGAAATGACAACTTCACCTCCATTATATTTAAAAACACTTCCTGAAAAATTCATACCAGGCACAAAGGTGCTATTTTTACCTGCAAAGTTTATTATCAGAAGTCTAACAATTGAATAACTGAACAAAAATAACAAACAACACAAATCATACAATGGGTACAAAAACAAAGTATAAAAACAGCTCATTTACATTGCAGCCCCATCCATATCTAACTTAAAAGTAAATCACACTGAATTCAATAAGGCTTATTCTCCAGTAAGTTTATACAGGCTTAATTCAGAGCAGAGGAAACAAAACAAGTACAAAATGTTAAGACTACGCATTTACTCAAGATAGATGAATGAATTAGGTATCTGCTTCTGAAGTCAGAAGTCAAAAGTTTGGGTACCCACTGTGTCTCGGGGGGTGGTGGTCAGCCTTCATGGCCTCAGGCAAGCAGGGAGCCCAAGAAAAAGGGACCAGTAAACCTCTTCTAAGTAATCTCTACCTAGAATACTCTGGAAAGTGTTGCCATAAGTCTGAATCAACCTGATGGCACTTTAGTAGTAGTAGCAGTAGTGACAGTAGTAGCAGTAGCAGTACCAGCATTTTTAACCTAAATATTCGCGAAGGCTTTCACGGCCGGGATCTAATTGTTGTTCTGGGTTTTTCGGGCCCGAAAAACCCAGAACAACCATTTTTAACCTATATTTTTAATGTTTTATATCCAGAGACCCCTTTTATTCGGTGGCTTAAAGATAAAGAAAGAAATGTAAATATATTACAAAAATCATAACATTTTGCTGCATTGGTAACTTCTTGATAATTTATTCATTTAAACAAAATAGGAATTCAGATCAGCAGTTCTAAAAGACTGAAAGCCAAATCCTTTCCCCTTGTTTTCAAAGGAGGATTTTTTTAAAATAGAAGACCCATCAAGCTAAGAACTTTTTCCCTTCCTCCCACCTTGCCTGCTTTGGGCTGGCAAGACATTAGAAGTATTGGAATGTCTGCAATATTACTATTCTATCCAAACTCGAATGTTCCCTTGATGTGAAAAGGAAAATGTCTGTCATTTCCTGTTGTTGATACTTACCAGGTGTTTCCGATAATGGGGAGGTCAAAGCTAAGAATCTATTGGTGTTTTCTACCTCTTCCATGATCACCGAAGGACTACTAGATGTCATACACTGTGTACGGACAAAATACACATATACACATTTGAGAAAAAGACACTGTTCAGAAGTACCAGGAAGGAGCAAAGGTTTGTAATGGCTCCCACATGCTATACAAGTTTTGTTGGTCCCTTTATTCACATAATTTACACACTTTTTGTTGCATGATAAAGCATATTTTTATGTAAACAGTTTGTTTCGTCTCATACTACAACTAATAATGTAGCAAAATAACTACAATTAATCTCAAAGCTAATTTAATGCCTTTCTATATCTTTGATGAATTTCACTGACTATTGAACTATACTATACATTCAAAAATTCTGGCTAAAATCCTGTTCCATAAGTTATGGAATCTAAGGCTGATGTCATCAGTGATGAATATTTTTCAGATATAAAATATTCCCCTTCAATGGTCCTAAGACTCACATGGATTTTAGCATCTATTCAAAGCACACACTTAGAAAAAAAGATTTGTTTCAGACCTGGTAGATTCAGGCCTTTAACACAGACCAATGGTGCAAGATCCACTGTTTATGAAAGTCTTCCCCAAAGAGAAAAAAAATCATTTTATTTAAACCAAAAACTTGCTCTATGTACCAAAAAGTATTAAGGAAATTCACAACACAAATCAAATCCCCTCAAAAATGTGGGCAATATAGTATACCCTTCTTGTACCTTTACTTTTCTTACTTTTTGAGGTACATCTTGCCAGACATTTTATCTTTTGGAATAACTGCCCTGCTTTTTAAAACACAGGAACAACACACAACAATGCTGAGAAAAAGATAATCTCTCTTTTCCTAACACAGAAAATGTAGGAACCTCATGGCACAGTAGTTAAACTGCTGTACTACAGCCAAACTCTGCTCACAACCTGTCAATCCCAAGTAGCTGGCTCAAGGTTTATGTAGCCTTCCGTTCTTCCCAAGTTGGTAAACTGAATAGCTAGCTCATGGTGTAGTGGGGGCAATGTGTAGCCTGCACAGTTAACTTGTAAATTGCTCAGAGAGTGCTTTACGCACTATGAGGTGGTATATAAGCAGCACATTTTTTTAAAGACAGGGTATAAAGAAAGCACACAATTAACACCAACTGCTTCTCTCAATTAGTTGGATCTCTAAAAATATCCACACACACATACACACTCACAAGGAACAGAAAAATGAAACTTAAACCTTTCCCTTAAAGAGGCAGGTCCTGCATACCACATGATGTTACTCAGAAATCTGCCTCTCAACCTCTTGGTGTGCTGCTCATTCTTCCCAGGAAACACATTCCTGGATTGGACATATATCTTAACTGAAATTTTAAATTTGAATTTAAATTTTAAATGTGAGTGAAATTCGTAGTCCTAGAATACTTTTTTGGTTTCAAAGGTAAATTGGAATTAAATCACATGTTTCTCACCTCAAATTCTTCCCACAATTTTTTTCTCATTTCTCTGCCTTGTTTTTTAACTGCTTTTTCTTGAGACTGTTTATTTGCCAATATCTGGTCCAACCTTTTCATCTTCTTTATGGCTTTCAGAATAAGAGGATCTACATCTTTCTTTTTAGCGTCTTCCTGATTTATAGATTTTGTTGTCACTTAAAAGTAAAAAATATTCAAATTCAGTCAAAAAAATCTTAAACTGAGTTATTTGAAATTCCTAACATTCTCAGATATTTAATGAAAATGGATGGCTAAGGGACAGCTGGACAGTAGCCAGTTTAGAACTGAAACTAAAAAGACATCCCAGAAAAATCAGGCAAATTAATTTTTCAAGTATTATTCTTTTAATTGAACTTCTTACAAAATTGCAAGCACTACCTTGAAAGAGGCATTTCACCTTTTTCTTGAACATGGAATGGAATGCCTCTTCCAAGATAGTGCACATATATGTGCACTACCAAAAGAAAATCTACTTCTTTTTTAAGAAATTCATTTGCAAAATTAAAAAAAACTAAACCTGTATGATCAATCAACTTAATACAGTATAATTTTTATTGGGCTATATACAATGTATAATGTCTCAAACCACAGCAACCAGTGGAAAGCAGAAATTCTCCCTTCATTCACAAAGAAGTTGTTCGCAATCATCTGACCCATGAGTAAGAGCAACAGGACAATCTGCTCTTGGGGGAAAGGGTACCATAGGATGGCACCTTGGTGGATGACTCCCATGACTAGAATATGGCAACTGAAGGATATAAATTGTTCAAAAAGAACAGAAGGAACAGAAAGGGAGGTGAAGTTGTAGCATATATCAAAAATATCCTGATATCTGTTGTAAGACAAATTCTGCCAATATGGCACTTCCAAGAGCTTCACAGCTTGTATGGCCGATAATGTTCTCCTACAAAAAGTGGCAAGGGACCACATTCTACTTGAGTTCCTGATTTTAAAGGAAACAAAAATATTGTGTAACTGCATGTGTAAACTGGATTTTAGCCAATTTTAATACTCAGAACAACGATACGTGAGGTCCCATAGCAGGACATCCTAGCAAGAAAAAAGTGTAGAAAATGGGCGGGAGTTTCTTACAAAGGAAATTCTAAAGGCACAAATAATTCAACAAGAAAAAAGGGGGTAGACAGCAAAAAAACACCAATGTGGCTTAACAAAAAACAGAAAGAACCTGAAACAACAAACACCAATGTGGCTTAACAAAAAACAGAGAACCTGAAACAACAAAAAAGGACACATATAAGAAGTGGAAGGAAGACCAGGCCATGAAGGAAGAGTACATACAGGTAGCAAGGAATTGCAGGGATGGTGTTAGGAAGGCAAGAGCTAAGAATGAGCTGACATTAGCAAGGGACGCTAAAAGCAAAATATATATATATTCAGTTATACACATAGCAAAAGATAGAGAAAATAAAATAGTGGTTCAGCTACTCAAAGTTGATGGAAAAATGAAAACAAATGAGTGGGGAAAAAGGCAAAAGTGCTCATTTCCTACTTTAGATTTGTCTTTTCCCAAAATATATTCTATGGTCCTCCAGGCAAATGTGAAGTAGAAGTGAAGGAGACAGGATTGCAGCTTGAAATTGATATTAAAAATAGTTATTACTTTGAAGGAGTTTAAATCTCCAGAGCATGGTGAACTCCATTTATGAATACTGGAGAATATGGCTAAAAAACTCTCAGAACATCTGCCTTTTTTTTTTAATCATGGAGGATGGGTAATGTGTAAGATGACTGGAGGAGAGCTATAACTGTCTCTGTTTTCAAAAAGAGCAAAAAAAAGTGGAACCTGAGAACTACAGACCAGTCAGCCTGGCATCAATCCCAATGAAACCTCTACAGCAAATTATAAAGCAGTTACTCTACAAGCAACTTCAAACCAATGCAGTAATAACTTAGGCCAACATGGATTTGTCAAGAATACTGTAAATCCTACCAGACTAATCTTATTGATTGGATAACCTCCCTAGGCCTGGCACCTCTTGAACATTTTTATTAATGACTTGGATGAGGGAGCTTATCAGATTTGAAGATGACACAAAATTGGGTGGAATTGCTCATATTCTCAAAGATAGAAACAAAATTCAAAAAGATCTTGATCAGCTTGAGCACTGGGCTGAAAACAACAGAATGAAGTTTAACATGGGTAAGTGCAAAGTCCCACACATATAAAGGGGAGAAGACACTCAGTTACAAGATGGGAGATACATGGCTCAGTAATACTATGAATGAGAAGGAACTTGGAATTGCTATAGATCATAAGCTGAATATGAGCCAACAGTGTAATTTGGCTGCAAAAAAGGCTATTTTAGCCTACTGTAACAGAAGTATAGTCTCCATGTACTAGTTCCTTCTGGTTAGCACTGATTTGGTACAATCTTAAATACTATGTCCAATTCTGGACACCATACAGTGGTGCCTCGCAGAACGAGCGCCCCGTAGAGCGATGAATTCGCTCTACGGTGATGCTTTTGCAATCGCTAATGCGATCGCAGAGCGATGCCCCCAATGGGCGAAAATCGCAGAGCAAACGTCGGTAAACTGTTCACTTACCGACCTTCGCTTTGTGACCCGCCGATCAGCTGTTCCGCGGCTTCAAAATGGCTGCGAGGGGAGGGTGCGAAAATGGCTGCCGGCCATAGAGGGCCATCGCTGTATGGTGAGTAAATCAGCCGACTGGAACGCATTAAACTAAGTTTAATGCATTCCAATGGCTTTTTTCTTTCCATACAGCGATGTTTCACACAGCGAGGGTTAATCCGGAACCACTGTACTTTAAGAATACTGACAAAGTGGGAAAAGTTCAGAGGAGGGCAAATAGGATTAACAGAGCCCTAAAAACCTAGCCCCAAGAAGAAAGACTAAAAGAACTGAGAATGTTTAGCCTTGAAGAAAGACTCTAGTACTTTTCAAATACCTGAAAGATTGTCATACAGAGGAGGTGAAGGATCTCAAAGTGAAGGACACAGAATAACAAACTCAAGTTACAGGAAGACAGATTTGGTTAAATATCAGAGAAAACCTCCTGTTAGAGCAGTATGACAGTACTCCAGCGCTGGAGGTATTCAAGAGAAAATTTGGCAACCATCCCTCAGACTCCCAAGACAAGAAGAAAGACTAAAAGAACTGAGAATGTTTAGCCTTGAAGAATGACTCTAGTACTTTTCAAATACTTGAAAGATTGTCATACAGAGGAGGTGAAGGATCTCAAAGTGAAGGACACAGAATAACAAACTCAAGTTACAGGAAGACAGATTTGGTTAAATATCAGAGAAAACCTCCTGTTAGAGCAGTATGACAGTACTCCAGCGCTGGAGGTATAAGAACTGAGAATGTTTAGCCTTGAAGAATGACTCTAGTACTTTTCAAATACTTGAAAGATTGTCATACAGAGGAGGTGAAGGATCTCAAAGTGAAGGACACAGAATAACAAACTCAAGTTACAGGAAGACAGATTTGGTTAAATATCAGAGAAAACCTCCTGTTAGAGCAGTATGACAGTACTCCAGCGCTGGAGGTATTCAAGAGAAAATTTGGCAACCATCCCTCAGACTTTCTTTGACTTGGATTCTTGCACTGAGTAGGGCAGGAGTCCCCAACCCCTTGTCCACGGCCCAGTGCCGGTCTGAGAACTGGGCCAGACTGGGCTGCGGGAACAGATCTCCCACATCCCCTGCACACACTCCCACACACACAGCACCTTCACACATGCACACAAGTCCGTGCATGCCCCACCCTTCACACATGTGCACAAGTGTACACACATGCCCCCAAACACCCTTGCCCCTTCGAGCATGCACACAAGTGTGTGTACACCTGCACGAGCGTCCCTACCCCCATGCGCATGTGCATAAGCGCGGGGGGTGTCCCGCCTTCCGCACATCCTCCCCCAAGCAGTCTGCAGTGTCAAAAAGGTACATAAGCGCGGGGGGTGTCCCGCCTTCCGCGCATACCGACCCATCCTCCCCCAACCAGTCTGCAGTGTCAAAAAAGTTGAGGACCACTGGAATAGGGGATTGGACTTGATGGCATTATACAGTATGCCCCTTTCAACTCTGTTCTATGATTCTATAATTCTGTGCATGAGATCACATGCCACAACAGAAATAAAATTCCAGCAGATTCCACTATGGACTCAAAAGAGTGAGGAATCCACCATATAAGGCTATTGACTTCTGTTTGCTTTAAACAATTTCATGAAGTTTGCATTACTAGCTGTTTCTGAGAGGGCCCTGTCCAGACAGCCAAATTACATTCCACCTGGTGCTCATAAGAAGTCCGCAATATTTAAAATTGTTACGAAGGTTTCCTTGTTTTTCATTTCCTTTCACAACATTTTTTCTTTTTATGCCATCTCCCTAGCTATGATATGGGATAAAAATGATTTCACAAATAAGCACCTTTCTGTAATTCAGCTAGTTGATTCTGGGGACTATTGCTGCTTGATAATTTATTGACAGCACAGTCATCTTCAGAATTCCCAGAATTTGAAGAATATTCTGAAAAACAAAAAGCATACATGGAATGAACAGCACTTATAACGCCTGAACTAAATGTGAAAATGACATTATTACCAGCCTAGTAAGTGTCTGAGAAAAATGTTTAGTAGTCCTTTAAATACCTAGCTGCGCAGCTCAGTTAGATATACCGTTTTCCCCAAACTAAGACCTAACCTGAAAATAAGCCCTAGTATGATTTTTCAGGATGCTTGTAATATAAGACCAACACCAAAAATAAGCCCCTTAATATAAGACCAACCCCCAAAATAAGCCCCTGTTAACTTAAACCCCTCCCTCCACCATTGTGCAGCAACCAGAAGAAGATGACATGACTTTATTTGAATACCGTATTTTTCCGTGTGACATGACTTTATTTGAATACCGTATTTTTTCCGTGTAAAAATTGAGGGTCATTTTATACACAGAAGGAAGCAGTCGTGCATGCTTGGGCGCCTTTTGCTGCTGCCACTGTCACCCAATTGCCTCTTCCAGAGCTCACAGCTTGTCCCCTCTGGTGGCCGAGGCAGCAGCAGGAGGAGGCAGAAACGGAGGCGAAGGATTCACACATTCCCCTCTGGTGGCCGAGGCAGCAGGAGGAGGAGGCAGAAACGGAGGCAAAGGAGCATTCACACACGCTGGGGTGCCTCTTGCTGCTGCCTCTGCCTACCCGCCCAATAACCACCTCCAGCGAGACTGACGGGCTCAGCTCAGTGGTTGCCTTGTCCCCTCTTCTGGTGGAGGCAGCAGGAGGAAGAAGCAAAGGAGCATTCACACATGCTCCGGCGCCTCTTGCTGCTGCCTCCCCCCGCCCACCTGATCACCACCTCCAGCGGGACTAACAGGCTCAGCTCAGTCGCTGCCTTGTTTGCAAAGGCAAACAAGCACTCGCACATGCTCGGACGCCTCTTCCTGCCTCGTTAGCAAAAAGGAAAGGGAGCAACGGCTCCCCTTCCTTTTTGCTAAAGCCCTGTGCCCCTCGCAAAAGGCGAGGAAAAGCAGCAGTCACTTTGACAGCCGCTTTCCTTGCCTTTTGCCAAGGTACGGGGCTTAGCAAAAAGGGAGCCCTTTGATCCCTACTTTTTTTAATATGCAGTTAGAAAATGGGGGGGAGGTTCATCTTATACTTTGGGTCATGTTATACACAGAAAAATACGGTAAGTGTAGATTGTTGTACATGACGAAAATAAAACATCCCCTGAAAATAAGCCCTAATGTGTTTTTGGAGCAAAAATTAATATAAGACCCCGTCTTATTTTTGGGAAAACACGGTACCTTATAGTAGAAAAGGCAGCCTGGGTAAGCTGCACAATCTCAAAGCTACCCCCAGAAAAAAGGAATTATAGTATACTCCACTTGTGAGCACACTATACCTAGAAAACCTTGGAAAGGATTGCGATACATTGGAATTGATGTATGTTGTTGTTTTGCCTTATATACCACCCCATAGTGTTTGGAACACTCTCTTGGAAGCTTACAACATAATTATGCAAACAGAAACATGACCTCCAGTGAGCTGGGTACTCATTTTACCAGCCTTGGAAGAATGGAAACCTGAATCAACCTTGAATTGGCTACCTGAAACAATTGGGACCAAAAACTCAGGTTGTGAGCAGAGACTTGACTGCAGTATTGAAGATTAATCACTGCCCATGGGCACATAAATATTAATTGGTTAGCACATAAACCTAGAGTGAGGGTTCTTCTACTTCAATTTGTGTCAAATACCTATGTCATTTAATACATGACATTTAACAATTACTCACATATTGTTTAGCACCCTCCCTCAAGCTAATGTGAGAACCAGTGTGGTGTATTAGATGGACTGCCAAACTGTGACTTAGGAGATCTGGGTGCAAATCCCCACTCACACATGGAAACTAACTAGGGATAGTAGTGTTAAACTACTTTTTGAACATTTCAGCTAGCAACAACACAAGGATTTTTGAGGTATAAAGTCACTTTTGAAGTCTAGAAATAAATGATCTCCAAAATCCCCTATCATTAAATTCCTGTTCAGGCCTTGCAAACTCAAGGCTGTGGCTTCTTCTGAAGAGTCAATCTATCTCGTGTTGCATCTTTCACTTTTCCTGCTGCCTTCAACTTCCTCCAGATTGTCCTTTCCAGTGAGTCTTACCTTTTCATGATGTGCCCAAAGTATGACAGCCTCAGTTAGTCATTTTTGCTTCTAGAGAGAGTTGAGGCTTAATGATCTAGCACTCATTTACTTGTCTTTCCGGTGGTCCTTAGCATCTCTAAAGCTCATCTCCAACACCTTATTTTGAATGGATCATTTTTTCCCTGTCAGCTTTCTTAACTGTCCAGCATAGTTGACACTTAAACTAACTTCCCATTTAAGTATTAAAACAAACAAGAAAAATACTCACAAGTGGAAAAATTGGGCAAAGAAACATTGCTCTATTTCTACCATCACTAGCTAGGAACTTTTGCTATATTCTCTACCAATATGGTTAACATAATGTTTTAACCAAAATATTCTCACAGCAATGGCTGGATTTTTTTCAACATGTCTGCTTAGAGACTCAAGATTTAAAAAAAGGTTTTGTTTATAATTGTCAGTGGAATGAAGACTGCTTGTAAAAGGGAATGAAACAATATTTAATTCTTTACATGATCAATATATTACTAATTTTGACATAATGGTGCTTCTACTGTTTTTGAATCCAGTTTTAACATCTGGTATTACTCATTCCATGGCTAAAATCCTGTTGCTTAGTTTAGTGAGTTGCACTACTTTATTTATTTATTTATTTGATTTTTACCCCGCCCCTCTAGACCATGTCTACTCGGGGCGGCTTACAAAATAAAACAAAACAGTATAAAAATATATAAAATCATAAAATTACAAATTTCAATTTAAAACAATTTATTTAAAGAGAGGATTACCAAGATGGAGTAGGCACATACAATTCAACTGAACTTAATGAAGGAATTGATTTACGAAATCCCCACTAATTTAATGGGCCTAAATAAACTAAGCAACAGGAGTCCAGCTCATACTTGGTAAACGTCTTTGTTAAAGAATGTTGAGAATCACTTTCCAAAACAGTAAATTAATTCCATGTTCTTGTAGTTGCTTTGCTCTTTAGCATCTCCTGTTTTGAGGACTGGAATGCACACTGAAGATTTCCAATATGTGGGTGGTTGCTTTGTTTTCCATATTTGTTGGCATATACTTGTTAGGGTTTTCATACAGTCGTGCCCCGCTTAACAATTACCCTATATAACGACGAATCCACTTCATGACAATGTTTTTGTGATCGCAATTGCGATTGCAAAACAATGTTTTAAATGTGTTTTTTTTCCTTTGTGAAGATGGGTTCCCTGCTTCAGGAACCGATTCTTCACATTATGACGATCAAAACAGTTGATCGTCGGGTTTTCAAAATGGCCGCTGGGTGCTCAAAATGGCTCCTTGCTGTGTTTTTGGACGGATTCCTTGCTCTACAGGCACTGAAAATGGCTGCCCCGTGAAGGATCTTCACTGGACGGTGAGTTTTCAGCCTATTGGAACGCATTGAACGTTTTTCTTTTTCTTTTTTTTTTAATTTTTTATTAAAAGAATACAAAATACACCTACTCTACAGAAAAAAAACTATAAAATACAAAAAAACCAGTACAATTACCCATGTGCACCCTTCACCTTCAGGACTAGCATTACACTTCATTCCATCCATTTTCACTCCAAAATTTCATTGTTTCTTCCCTTGGTGTAAACCCCCTCCCTCTCTGAAATACATGTTCTAAAAATGCGTTCCATATTTTCTTAAAATCATTATTTTTCATTTGGCCTCTACTTATTTTCATATCACATGTCAGTTTGTCATTAATAGCCATGTCCCATAATTCTTTATACCATTCCTCCAGGTTAAATTGATTTTCATTTCTCCAAGTCCTTGCCATAATTATCCTTGCTGCCGTGATCATTATTACTATTAAATCCTTATTTTCATTCACCAGTTGATCTTTACTCATATTCAATAAAGCTATTATTGGAGACATTGGAATATTCAATCCAATTATTTCCGATATTTCTTTAAATATTAATTTCCATTCTTTCTTTCTTTTTTCACATAGCCACCACATATGTAAATACATCCCCTTCTCTTTTTTACAACTCCAACATAATATTGACACAGTTTTGTCCATCATATTCATTTTGACCGGCGTTAAATACCACCTCCATATTACTTTATAACAGTTTTCTTTTATCCTTACTGACATGTAGCATTGAATGTTTTTCAATGCATTTCAATGGCCTTATTTCACTTTACGACGTTTTCATTTGTAGCGATTTCGCTGGAACGAATTAACATCATTAAGCGAGGCACCACTGTAATCTCTGTAGCTTGAAATAGCTCTATTGATGTCACATCTATTATTTGTGATTTATTTATTCCAGTTGCTTTGACAGCAGCCTTCACTTTATTTTCTAGAATTGCATTCTTCATCAAATGGTTCTTTTTTTGAAAAAAATCTATTATTCTTGCATCTTTTCTGGATAATTTTTATGGATATTATTCCAGTTTATTTCAGAATAATATATTCTTATATATGTTCTACTTCCAATAATCTATTTGATTTTTATTCTGGTTATTCAGTGACATCTATGTATACAATCTTCTGTTCAGTTACCTTAAGTATGTATCTGCAATAAAAAAAAATTGGCTTCATACAATTTAATGATTAACTTTCCTACTTCATTTCTGATTTCCAAGCCAAATTCTTCAGTGGTGTTTTCTTCTGCTTTATTTCCTATTTGGAAGGCTGAGTCAACCTTGAGCCGGCTACCTGGGATTTGAACCCCAGGTCGTGAGCACAGTTTTAGCTGCAGTACAGCGTTTTAACCACTGCACCACGAGGCTCTTTCTTCTGCTTTATTTCCTGTTTTTTGTATTTCACTCATCTATGATTATAATTGCAACATACTTTTCGTGTGTGATGAGTTTCCTCCTGGATATTTGCATTAAATTTTCCAATTTCTTCTTCAGCTTTTATAGTTTGAGCATATACCCGACTGATACTTAGTATGGCTTCCATGGACTCTGTCTGACCTTCATTCTGGTCCCTAACCTCTTGTGCTCAACTTCCTTCTGGGTTTGCCATTTCCAGAGTAGAACACATTACAATTATCTGCTTGAAAATAGCCTATTCCAGTCCACTTCAGTTGATTTACATCAAATATTACAATAATTAAAGATTCTATTTATTATTATTTTTCTTTTTCTACATTCACATGTGAGCTCAAAACAGTTTTATACATTTATGCATAACAATAGTGATTCTTAGGTTCACTTAACATCACAATATTTACTTTTAAGTAAACATGCAGAGATTGCATTACACATATATTAAAGCTTCATACCTTCTACCTGATCTGTCTTCTGTGTTACCAGCTCAAAAGTATTGCCATTGGATATTTCTTCTGAAACTCTAAATTTTTTGGCTTCATTTTCATCAAGATTTTCTTTTGAGTTGTCTTCTGGGTGATTATTTAAAAAATCAACCTAAAATAATTGGGAAACAGAGAATTTAAATAAATATATCAGACTTCTTGTTCAAAACTGCTGGTAATTATCATCTAGAACCATGAACATTGTCATCAAAATATGATGTCACTAAATAAAATCCAGGATTTGACAAGACACTTGCAATTTAATATATTTTGAAACAAAAATTGTCAGTGGCCAGTCACCTGAATACCTATGGTAACAGCAAACTCCAGAAGAAAACCAAGCAGGAAAGCTTTGGATACATTTGTTTTGCTTATGTTACAAATGATAATATGAATCTATGGGAAAAAGGTCAAAAATAATATTTTGGGATTTATTTAACATGCTGTTTTATAGGTAATGAAAAAGGAAAGGGAAGAGAAGAACAATACAAGGTAGGGCACATGAACAACTGGGTAACAAATGAAGAGAAGCAAACTTCTCATTAGTGCCTCCAGAATATGATTTATTCATAAAATGTGAAATTAATATCAGTGGTTCCCAAACTTGGGTAACCCAATTGTTCTTGGAATGCAATTCATCACCTATTGTGCCAGGGCTGGTCAGGGTTTCTTCGAGTTGCAATCCAAGAAGACCTGGATTATTCAATGCAGGGAACCAAAGTAAGAGATCATATTGTGAAGACAAGGTATTTGTTCAACTAGAAGAGTGATCAGGTCATGAATGTTTTATATTTTAGAAATAAATCACCATGTTTTGAGTACCGGCTTGAGGCTCTCCTCTGGAGACAAGGTGAGATAGAAGGAATTACTAAGATTACATATATCAAAAGATAAAATACATTAGGACAATAAAAGAAAATACAAACATCAAGTATGTGTTTCTAAAACTATTGCAACAGGTAGACATATCAGTCTAAAAGTATATATCTCAAAGATATGAATACAATTGTAAACATTAAGAGCATATACCACGAAGCCAAGTATATCTCAAAAAACCAAGCATCCACAAATCCGCTCACTAGAAATCAAAGCACCCAGCTTTCTTACAAACATTTTAACTGGTATCACACAAATCTCTAATAGACATCTCCTTTCTACTGCAGCTTTTCAGCAGATAAAAAGAAGCAGAGGTCCTTTCTGACTAGTAGAAGAGTTTCCTGTACTTTTCTTACCTTTTCATTTTTTACACAAGGGATGACCCTGCTCTCTCTCAAGTTCTCTCTGCACACCAAGAACTAATAAGAAGGATATGGATTGGTAGCAACAGCACATAACAACTACCAAGAAAGCCGAGTCATCATTTGTGGACCTCTGGACAAAATCTTAAAAGAACAGCAAGAAATGCAGCTGACAAAATGATTACCTTTGGTAAGTCTGGCTCTGGTGTTAAAATTTCTAAGGATGCACTTAAAATTTTGCTTCCATGAGTAATTCTTGAGCTAGATGCTGGTCTTGAAATTTCATCCAAGCTCCCCCTTATAATATCCATTGCAACCTATAAAAGCAGATAAAATAAACACACTTACACAGTATAGGTGAAACAAATTACATAACCATCAGCTATATTCATCAAGCTACAATTCTCTTCCTCATTTATAGCATGGTGTATATTAAATGGAGCTACAGATTGACCTCTGCACATATAACCTAATTGGCGCCCTGATACAGTACTTCTAAAACAAGTCATTGTAAGCTGAATCCTATTTTTCCAATAAGTTAAGTGTTAAAATAATGGTTTGTTTCTCAAAAATATTCAGACTTATAAATGAAGCCTCTGTTGACTTCCCACTTATCCAATCAACATCACTTGCTTGCTTCCTGGATGCTACCTTTTAAACCTTTGCTGATTTCTTTCTTCTGTTACATCTCCTTTCTCTAGCCTGCAAGCTAGGCACTCTTCTGCTTTCTTCTCACTTTTCCTTCATGCCTCCCCTTGTTTGCATGATGCTACTGTCTGACCTCTGCTGTCTCCTCCACCACCACATATCATCTCTATAGCTTCCTTGCTGGGCATTCTGCTGTTGTCACTCCTGCCTCAACCTTCTATTCTTCTTGCTTGCTGTGCACTCCCCTCTAGTCTCTACTCTCATGCTTGTTGGTATAAATAAACAAATTTACAATGTGAGCACCATGATTTTAAAATTGAGGTTTGGGTTCTGTGAGGAGCCATCAACTAATATTTGGAATGGCTGTAAAAGAGGGGTTCTTTAAATGAGCTACTGTTTCTCTATAAGGAAGTGATAGAGTATTAGTTACCTTTTTTGACGTACAAACTAATTCAATCCAGAGTTACTGCATTCTATTCCTCAGTTCAGTTTCAGCTGCTTTTCTCAGCAGAAAAGATGGGTTAATCTACAAGTTGCATACATAGCAAAGCAACTGTATGATCACATCTGGTCTGAATGATGCACAGGATATTCTCAATTCGTCGGTTTGGTTTGCTGCACCAGTTTGCACAAACTTTATATACAGGAACACTGGACGAAAAGCTATTATTTTTACTTCTAATTTGGAGACAAAAACTGGTATATTGCTGATAACAGTGACAAAGACAGAAAAGTGACAGAGAACTTATTGGGAGAAAGGCAATCTATACATAGAATAAATAAATAAATAAATTTAAGAAAAGGCTATACGAGCACCTAATGGCTTATTTCAAGAGCCATGGAAGTAATTTTAATCAATATGTGATTATAACCCTGTACCGATTATAACTCTGTACCTGGAATAATTACCTTTTTTAATTTATTCACTCATTCATTCAGCTTTTGCCCCACCCATCTAGAGTCAAATGAAACTACTCTGGGTGGCTTACAATCCGAGCAATATAAAACAAGAATTAAAACAGACAATATCCCCCCCCCCAAAAAAAAAGTAAGCAAAGATCAGGATGGGGAAACGCAGGGAACTAAGTGATTGAAGGAGGGAAGGCCTGCCTGAAGAACCAAGTCTTGTTCTTGAAAACTTCCAGCAAGGGTGCCAGGCGAATCTCGGGAGGCAAGATGTGCCAGAGGTGAGGGACCACCGCCGAGAAGGCCTGGCTTTTAGTTCTCTCCTTCCGGACCTCTTTCGGGGTCAAGCCCCTCAGCCAGGTTTGATCCAGTGACATGAGTAGAGCTATGTGGGGACAGGTGTTCTGCAGGTATTGATGCCCTAAGCCGTTTAGGGCTTTATATGTAAGCATTAATACCTTGAAGTCAATGGAGAAATGAATGGGCAACCAGTGTAAGGCTGTCAGAGTGGGGGAAATCTGATGATATTTATTCACCCCAGTTAATAGTTTGGCAGCCGTGTTCGGGACCATTTGTAGTTTCCGCATCAATGTCAAGGGTAGCCCCACATAGAGCTTTACAGTAGTCTAATCTCGAGATTACGAGCGCATAGGCCAGACCGGTGTGTGCCCCAACACCAAGATAGGAGCGCAGCTGGGCAATCCGCCAAAAATGTAGATGGGCAGTACAGACCACGGATGTTATTTTGGACTCCATGGTAAGCGCTGAGTCAAGATGGACCCCTAAGCTGCGGACCACACTCTTTGTGAATCCCAGAAACCATTAGCTAGTATGACCAGTAATCATGCTGGGTGGATAGTTATGGGGACTGCAGATCAAAATAACTTTTCAAGTTCTTATCTTTACTCTGCTGGCTTCACAACACATTCTGCTATGCAAGTATCAGGTTGGGAGTAAGATGAGTCTTCAGTGAAACAGAAATTATCTCCAACCACCCTGCTTCTTGAGTTCATTTGCAGGCATATGGAATAGCACTTTTGTGACCCTACCAAATACTTTTTTAACCAACGTTAGAAGTACTGTTCCTCCTATTTTCGTATTATGTGTTATTACCGTGTAACTAGGAGGAAGGCGTTTACATGTCAAGTATTGACTTTGTTGTAACCCACCGACCAGTTTTCAGAAATAGGGTACAGAAAGACGGACGTTACACTCTTACATTTTACAGGTTGGTCCTTAAAAACACTGGGACAGGAGAATGTTTTGGGCCACTTGCTTCTAATGCGAGCGACGGGGAAAGGCTGTCCCGCCATCCTTTTGGGGAGCGTCATTTGAAAGATACGCCCTCACTCCCCCACCACTAGGTCTAAACATTCGTGGTCGCGCCTTGTTACTACAAATTGCTGAAAACATCACGTTTCTTCCCCTCAGAGTATGCTCTTCCCCCCCCCCACTTTACTTTAAGCATAACTGTCAAGCAACCTCTATTAACTCACCCCAAAAAGATATCAAGAGGAGCGAGTACAAACCGCCATATAGCGGCGGGCATGGGCGGTCCGGCTTCTTGGTTGCTGAGGCAACCGCCAGATGGGGAACAAATCCGGAAACAGGGCAGTCACCGAGGGCGGAAGCCAGAGCGTCTTAGAAGTCCGTGAAGACCTACGTCATGGCGTCCTCGGCGTCCTGCTGTGGAAGGGGTGCGAGGGTTAATGGGAGGGCGGTAGACCAGGCGTTTCTCCCTTTATTAAACGAAATGGTTTCGTGAGCCTGAGTGCCGCTTCCTTGCCTTCCTTGGAGTTCCGTGGACACTTATGTCGACAGCCCTTGCCTTTTGAATCTGTTTAGCAGGACTCTGATGGCGAGAAGAAGCTCGGATCGCTTTAAGACAGGAATCCCAGCAGAAGTCATTTTAGAGTGTCGCATGCGTTGGCGTCCCTGTGGCTTGACCAGAACTGGTGTTGAATTTACAAGGAGGCTGCTTGCACGGATAGCGTTGATCCGTTCGCCGCAGAAGTAATTAATGTAATTTCGTGGCGATCTGTCTTATTTCCAAATTTGTTACTAGCAATACTTAGCAACAGCCACTGAGTCTGTTTAGCATGCTACAGAAAATAGCTGCCCTTACAGGTTTCTTTTGTAAAGTAGTCTCGTGTTGCTGATCCACTCCCAGATCGAAGGGATTCAAACACAGGAATCTTTGGCTTTTGTGCCTGAACTTCAGCCGCCTAGATGATCAGATAGGCGGGATAGAAATAAAATAAATAAATAAATAAAAAAATAAATCCTTCCGAGGTCGGTAAAATGAGTACCCAGCTTGCTGGGGGGGGCAATGTGTAGCCTACATAATTAACTTGTAAATTAATTAACCCAGAGAGTGCTTGAAGCACTATGAGGCGGTATATAAGCAGCATGCTTTGCTTTATTTTGTGCGCTGCATAATGCAGCATATCTTTCTCTTACTTTAAAACTACTGTAAACTTTTGCCTGGCATAATCTTTCATAGATTATAGCCTGTTTGGACATGTGATGAACGTATACAGCAAATAAAATTTGTCACACTATAAAAAGCCACAAGACTATTGTTTTGCTTGAGGGCACATCCAGTTGAGTTTTTTGCCACAATAGACTTAACTATGGTACTCTCCTCAGAACTTTCAAAACTTTCCACCCTGCTTTCAGTTCTTCTTTTCCATACGTGGGCCAAAGTATGTGTAACTATGTACTAAAATATCAGGCAAAACCAAAAGGAATATCAAAAATAAAGATAAAAATGTGACGCCCTAAAGTCTAACTGCTATATTTTAATGTGAGCTTTCTTGGGCAAGTTCAGTTCCTCAGACATAAGAGACTTATGTTTGAAGAAGTGGACTTGACCTTGAAAGCCCACATTATAATACAGCAAGTAGTCTGTAAGGTGCCACAATGTTTTGGTCTTTTTTTATTTTCACCTGAAATGCTAGCAGAGACTTAATACAGCTGTCTGTTCTAAAGCTATGCACTGAAACGTTTGTTTCATCTGTCTGGACCAACAAAATGTATGCTTAACTTTTACTTTAATTGGATTTATACCCCCCCCCAAATAAGGTTTTTACTTTAATTGGATTTATACCCCCCCCAAACAAGGTCTCGGGGCGGCTTACATACATAAAAACAAACAAGCAACATCTTTAAAAGCGTTTAAACATCACAATTTTAACAGTTATATAAAAGCCTTGCCAAGATGGAAAGATTAAAGAAAAGTGAAGGTAAGTTTAATTGACTGGAGGGAAAGCCTGCCTGAAAAGCCATGTTTTTAAATGGTTTTTAAAGACATCCAGCGAGGGTGGCAGACAAATTTCTGTCGGGAGGCTGTTCCAAAGCCAAGGGGCCACTGCCGAGAAGGCCCGGTTTCATGTTCTTTCTTTCCGTGCCTCTCTCGGCGTTAGGCCCCTCAGCCGTCCCTGCTGGCTTTGTCGGGTGATTCTAGTAGAACTAGATGGGAGAAGATGCTCTGCCAGGTATCGAGGTCCAAAACCGTTTACAGCTTTATGCTCCAATAAACTGTATCATCATGGTGCTATAAGACTGTTGTTTTCTCTTTTTGTTCCTTGGTAACCATACACAATTACTCAGCATAGCACAGAATTTTGTTGATCATTGACATGATAGGTAGATTAATCCCTGGTTCGTAGGTGCCAGAGTCCCATCAGAACGAGAGCACAAGTCAGAGGAAAAGGTGTGAGACTCTCTGAAGAAAGATAACCAAAAATGCCCCTCTTGTGGCTCTTTCATGCTACTCCCCAATAAACTATTCAGTTTAATCCCAAGTGCAAACTTGATTCTCCTACATTCTATTACTTTTCCTCTGAAAGTAAAAGTAGCAACAAACCTAGTGGAAGTTAACGTAAGTGTGTCAGTAGTCCAGTTTCAAACTGTCCATATAGGAGCATGACTGTTTGACTGTAATAAATACCATTTGCATGCAATAACTTACTTTTTTAAAAAATTGTCCATATCTTGTGATGATATGAAACAATTTTGGTGTTTTTTCCCATTCTCCTCCACTTTTCGTCTTTCTTGCACTTCTTGTTTTCATTCTTTTGTCTTTTGTAAACGCTCTAAGTCAGCATTTTTCAATGTGATACAGTAAATATTTCTTTATTGCCTGCCTGACCTATATTGCAGGCAATACTGTATGCAGCAATTAAGCTGTAACAGAAGTAAGCAAAATAATGCAATAAACAATATGTAGAACATAAATAAACATCTGTGCAATGTCGCCAATAAGCCATATGCTAAAAATTAAATTACAAGCATCATACTGAAGTTGGAAAAGATTTAATGTTCACCCAAGCTGCATCATTATTTGTATAGGTTTTATTTCAGATAAGAAGGTATTACAGAAGGTGAGCACCACAACAAAAGATACTGTTCTACGGATACTTATTTGGTGAACATCTACAGGATGTGCCACAACCAGGAAAACCTCATATGATTCTGGCAGAAATCAGACAGACCTCTCAAGTATCCTGTTCCCTGGGTTTTTAGGGCATTAAAGATTACAGTATAATAGAAGTCTTCAGTAGAAACTTTGGCTGTATCAGGCTTCTTGTCTGTAATTTTCTTGTTTTTTGATCTGGATGTACCTGACACTTTTCGACTACCAATTTTATTTGGATTGAAATATGCTTTCTTTGTTGAGAAGTCATTAAGTCGTGTCCGACTCTTCGTGACCCCATGGACCAGAGCTCACCAGGCCCTCCTGTCTTTCACTGCCTCCCAAAGTTTGGTCAAATTCAGGTTGGTCACTTCAATGACACTGTCCATCCATCTCATCCTCTGTCATCCCCTTCTCCTCTTGCCTTCACACTTTCCCAACAGGGTTTTTTCCAGGAAGTCTTTTCATGAGATGGCCAAAGTATTGGAGCCTCAGCTTCAGGATCTGTCCTTCCAGTGAGCACTCAGCATTGATTTCCTTTAGAATGGATAGGTTTGATCTCCTTGCAGTCCAGGGGACTCTCAAGTCTCTTCCAGCACCACAATTCAAAAGTATCAGTTCTTCGATGGTCAGCACTCTTTATGGTCCAGCTCTCACTTCTATCCATCGCTCCTGGAAAAACCATAGCTTTGACTATGTGGACCTTTGTCAGCAAGGTGATGTCTCTGGTTTTTAGGATGCTGTCTAGGTTTGTCATCGCTTTCCTTTCAAGAAGCAGGAGTCTTAAAATCTGTCACTGCCTCCATATCTTCCCCTTGTATTTGCCAGAAGGTGATGATGGGACCAGTGGCCATGATCTTAGTTTTTTTTATGTTGAGCTTCAGACCAATTTTTGCACTCTCCTCTTTCACTCATTAAGAGGTTCTTTAATTTCCTCACTTTCTGTCATCAGAGTGGTATCACCTGCATATCTGAGGTTGTTGATATTTCTTCTGGCAATCTTAATTCTGGCTTCGAATTCCTCCAGTCCTGCCTTTTGCATGATGTATTCTGCATGTAAGTTAAATAAGGAGGCAGACAATATACAACCTTGTAATACCCCTTTCCCAATTTTGAACCAATGAGTTGTTACATATCCAGTTCTGACTGTTGCTTCCTGTCTCACATACAGATTTCTCATGAGATAGATAAGGTTTTTAGGCATTCCCATTATTTTAAGAACCTCGCATAGTTTGCTATGGTCCACACATTCAAAGGCTTTTGCGTAGTCAATGAAGCAGAAGTAGATATTTTTCTGGAACTCTCTGGCTTTCTCCATAATCCAGCGCATATTAGCAATTTGGTCTCTAGTCACTCTAGGACGAGATGGTTGGACAGTATCATCGAAGCTACCAACATGAATTTGACCCAACTCCGAGAGGCAGTGGAAGACAGGAGGGCCTGGCGTGCTCTGGTCCATGGGGTCATGAAGAGTCGGATAAGACTTAATGATTGAGCAACAACAAAACATCAAAATTAAATACCTGTATCTGGGAATCCAAAAGGTCTTCCAAAGGACAGCAATTGTGAGGTCAAGATTATATTATTTTTAAATACGATGATAGCAGACAACAACAGCTCTCACCAATGGATGTAACATTATTTTATCCACCAGATGGTATCATTTGACTTTCTTAATATTACCCATTTCCCTCTGCAACTCTATGATTCTTTATATAATTTGATTACAAATATAAATGCTTTTAGCTGTGATAATCTGGGAATGCTTCCCATTTAAAATGTACTGTTATTCTGTGGACTGAGAAATGGATATTGATGTTGCAGTGGCAAACTGTTCCTTCCTCCAAACCACCCTAATCATTTAGTAGAATTAAACATGAGTCATCAAATGTTTCGTTTCCCTGCCCCTGCTTCTCTTCATTAATAGCTTCAGACAAGGAATATGAACTTCAGGATAGTTCCGAACTGACCGAGAGGATTCTACTGAATCAATAGGCAACTATGGCTTTCTATACATCCTTATCAACTGTAGTCTCCCAGGATCCCTGGTCAGCATAACTAGTGAGGTGGGCCCGTGCAAACTGTGGGGCCTACTTTTCTTGAAGGTTATAGTTGTACACTCAGTGATATATTTGGGGCTGGGATCACCAGTAGAAATAGGTTAATCATGTATTGCTCCTGTAAGTGAGGGGTAGATAGACACAG